TCCTCCCAGCCGATCCATCTGCGGGCTTCGAGAGCGCTCGGCGTGGTAATGGCAGCGGATTTCTAGGGAGGATCATTGTCCAAAGGACTGAGGACTCTCTCACCGCAGCGCGGACGGTGCAACCAGGCAGCGCGATTTGGTCAGATGGGTCGAGGCTCGAGAACGGCCGGACAGGAGCAGGGATTGCCTGGCAAGAGCCTTGCGGAGAGTGGAGGACCCGGAGCTTTCCCCTTGGAACGGGACGAGAAGTCTTTGATGCGGAGCTTGTGGGAGTCGTGCAGGCCCTCCAGGCCGCACTGAAAGTGGATGACAGTGGTCCAATCACAGTTCTGCTGGATTCCCAAGCCGCGATTGCGAGGCTGCGACACACGCAAGCAGGCCCCGGTCAGGAACTGACGCTTCGAGCTCACGCAGCAGCCAGAGCTCTACAGGAGCGAGGCCGAGAAACCATCATTCAATGGGTGCCCGGCCATGCCGGAATCGAGGGAAATGAGAAAGCTGATGAAGCGGCAAAGCTCGCGGCTAGTCGACCGGGGTGCCATCCAGAAGGAATCACAGGACTCTCACTGGCGTTTGTCAACCGGACGTGCACGGAGAACATCCAAAACCGCAAACAAGTCTGGCTCGCCCGAGATTTAGCAAAGCGTTCTCGCTATAAACAGCGAACCTATCGACCGTATCGAGGCTGGACACTGGACCCAGTCGCATCGCGAGCCCTGAAACCGCTGGCCACCCGCTTCTTCCAGTTAAAGAGCGGCCATGCGGCTATCGGAGCTCACCTCCACCAGATTCACGCACGGGAAAGCCCTGCGTGTGAGAAAGGCGATGCACCGAAAGAGACCGTGCATCACGTTCTCTTTGAATGTCGAGCGTGGCAGCACCAGCGAATCAAGCTGTACCGCGCGCTGGATCGAGCTGGGGTCACCAGACCGTCAGCAGCCGAAGAGTGCCCAGAAGGCAGGCTTCTTGGGGAACCGAAGGCAACAGAGGCCATCTTACAATTTTTGGCCATGACGAAGGCAGCCCTGCCTCAAGACCATCACCTGGCTTTGGCAGAGCGAGCTCGACGAGATGATGAATGGGGATTAGAGGACTTGGAGGAAACTGAGAGGATGGGGGAAGGATAGCAGGAAGGGTAGCCTAGGCACTCAGCCTAGGGGACACCCATCCCGGTTGAGACACCGAGGAGAGCCACAAAAGGCTCGAATGCCCTGCGCAAATAGGCGGCTTGGGGCGAGGAAAAGGACCTGACTGTATATACATGGGGCTCACGCCCAGGAACTCATAGCAGCGGGGGTCTGGAAACAGCTATACCAAGCGGAAACAGACCCAACCTCAGACCCGTGGTCTGTCATAGCTTTAGGGCTCGATACGGACAATAAACTTGATTAATAATAATACACAGGAAATGGTTATCTCCTGGAAAGATATGGTCAATTGGAATTCGATGGAGGCGATACTTCTTGAGGGTGGGTTTAAATATATACTCTCAGTGGAATTGACACTCCCTGTCTCTGGCACGTCGTCAGGAGTACCAACTACGTTTTGGGTTCCTGGAAACCTAGATGATTATGACTATGAGCGAATTAGTGAAGACAGCTTACGCGCGTCCACAGAATGGTATGGATTCCGATGGGCTCCAGGAATATCCAGTGGATTCCTCGGATGGAACAGTCTATAAATTAATAGATTAATTAATCGGTTATCCAGCGGGTTCCCAGGAGCAATCTCTTTTGTGGGCTTCTTGGCTCCGGGGATCTGGCGGTTCGTCAAACATGCGTTCCGGTGCGCGTGCTCAATGTAGAGAGAAGCTATGCTTCGACATTACATGCAGAATATTATTTTCTTAGTAGAGCCTTGCTCAGGGTAAGACTTGGGGTCTCCCAGTAGATTCATGCACTCGCTATAGGATTAGCACTCCCTCCATGCCTGTCCAAGAGACCATGGAACCAGTAGGCAAGGGTTCCCAGGAGCATGCAGTTTAATTGATTGGCTGACGGGGTGATTACCAAAATGAAACGTCAAGTTATTGATGGCAATGCTTTTTTGATGGGAGAGTGGGGCAAATCAAAGAACGAGGGTTTCACGTGGATGGCGCCAGCGTGTTGAGTTTTAGTGAGGTGCCTAACGCTCAGGTTGTGCTCAGTGAGCAAATCAGAGCGCTCAGTGAGTGGATCATGCTTGCTCAGTGAGCAGATCGGGAATTGCTAAGGACACCCTAAACTGATTAGGTTAACTATCTAATATCAGATATTATGTAAGATTTGCTGAATTCCAACAATTTGCTATAGCAACAGTATGCACCTTATTATTGTTTTTATTATTCTGGGGCTGTTGGTATCACCAGCTAGGTACTGTGTACACAGCTAAGTGGACAGCATGTATGCTCGAAAGGCGAAAGTCAATTGATTTTGGTAGATAGACGTTCCAGGTCAAGCTTGGTCCAATACCCCTGGATCCATACGGCGGGAGCCGCAGCTTAGCAAGATTACGTACAACATGTATTTGCTTATTCTGACGGGAGGATATCTCCCGACAGATAGAGAATGAATACTTTACTGCGTAGAGAACCAGAATCAAAACTCTTTTCACCTCATCCTTTGATATTTCCTCTTTTGGTTCCGTTACGCCGATCGACTAGTAAATCCATCGTATTTCTGTAGCTATACAGGGCATTCGTGATATTTATCCTTCCCCCTCACCAAAGTCTGTTTATCAAAGTAGGCCAATGAACTCCACGGATTGATCCTTCGGAATCATTTGCCTGGGAAAGACAATTTCCAGGTTCAACAAGACCTCATAATCACAATTATTATACCATACCATACAAGGCTACAATGCTCCTCAAAATCGCGGATTCCGACAAATTATGACTCTACATGTCAGGCCCAGACTATGTACACCTGGACTCTGCACCAAAGAGTTTTGGGACAATGGTGGAGGAAACAGAGAATGTACTGGGTGAGGCAGAATGGGAGGAAAGCCGAGCCAAAAGAGAACAGCAGTCCCGTGGATTGCCTCGCACATTTAATCTCCGATTCTCCACAGACTGATTCGACCGCATCAAGATTGAAGAAGTGCCACTCAAAGGAGGTATTCTATTTAGGGCAGGCATTATGAAGAGGCATCACCTAAAAACAGAGCCTGGCAGGCTGTCCTCTCTCGATGATGCTTGCACGGATACTAAAACGGTCCCAATCTCCACTAAGCCTTTATTCATGTAGTTTCACCGCCATTTTTATACTGCGGCGGGATAAGGTCCTCCAATCAACTCTTTAATTGGTCCGCTCAATGCTAATATGTATGGAAGTTTCGTAACCCGTCAATCAGTCTACCGACCAATTTTTCCGTCACAATAACAGCCGACTGTAAGTCGGTCGTCTACCTCGATTTGGTTCTCCCTCCATAATCCTCCGTACAGGCGGGGTCCAATCAAAAGAAGGCAATAAAAGGCACCCGTCCTCTATGCTGAAATCTGTTCCATATATCGGACAAACCTTCCGATTCAATCGAAAGGAGGCGCTATATATCTGACTACAAATTGGGTACGCCATTCCATGCCGTTCCCTCGACAGAATGGTAGGCTGTTCCTGGGTTCTATTTGGCAAGAAGCCGAAGTCACCCGTCACCTCTCAACCTCCCACGGCTGAAGAGACTGCAATCATTCACGACCGAGAACCATCATGCCGAGTCCATGAGCAAATTGTGCAAGATACTAAGATTTAAGTGCCGTTGGTAGAAATGGGGACCAGGGCAGCCCCAGCTCTTCGTAGCACATGACATGGTCCAGGCAACAGAAGAGCTTGTGCATGTTGCCTTTTCCATCGTGTCACCAACGAGTCATGCTAGTACGCACAACGACATCACGATCCGCTTTGTACCAGCAAAAGCAGGAGGCGGTGAGTTGATGAAACGGAGCTAACGTTAACACTTCCGAGCAGCTATGCTTCCGAATTGGTAATTGGGAGAGGCAGAGTTAAGTATAGGTTCTGAGCCGGGGGATTGCAGAAGGCTCGGAAGGCTTCTCGTAGAACCAGACTTCGATAATCGATAAGGGTGGAGTCATTTCGGGGAATTCGGAGGGTGGATCCTTCCCTTGCTATGCTGACAAGGAATAGCGAGCGCTTCGACTCTCTCATTCGTCGTCCCCAATCCCCTTCCATCTCTTCCACCTCTGATTGGCCATACCCAATCTCTTACCATCTCCTCTTCCCTAGTCTCCAGGCTGGTCCGGAAGCATGCATCGGCGATCCGAGCGGGTCCGGTCGCAAGGCAATGGGTTGGGGGGTGACAGGTCAAGGAACCATTCGAGGCGATCACATCATTTCCATGATGAGGCTCTGCTGTACTCGAGGTCCTTGATCCCAGAGCAGCAGGAGTCAAATTTGCACGAATACGGATGTGGGCCCAATCAGATAATGGGGCCTAATACGGAGTAGTGGCACTTCGCTGCTTCACCGCGTAGAAAACATGCGGCTCTGCTGAGGATCCAAAGGTAGCTCACCGCTGGATGAGCCCATCTCTGGCTCTATTAGCCGGTAGGGGCCATAATCATGATAATCTCGTGAGGCGTGAGACTTGAGGCTCAAAGGGGAACACATCAGAAACCCAAAATGGCATTCACTGTTTCCGCTCTCACGCTACTTCCCAAGCCTCCTGCTCTTGCGTTCTCGTCACCCACTGTGAACTCGAGCGGCTCCAAATACCTCAACGTGTTCTTCTTTTCGCCATTCCTCTCCTCCTAGTATTCTCCATTCTCCATTCCTTATTCTCACCGTAACCACCTCTCTCTACCATCCGGTTTTGGCCATCTCCGCTCCTCTCCTCCTACTTTCCTTCCTGCACGCCTTATCTCCATATTCTGTTGTCCACTTCATAGAGCATCTGCTCTTTATGCTAACCTCGGACCAACTCCTCCTCTACCATTTTAACGCATCCTAATTCCGCCACTGATCATCATTAGGGGGTTACCCTGCCACACATTTTACGCTCCTCCCACAATGGCAGGCCCCTATCCTCCTGCGACCCTGGACTGCCTCCCATTCGATGTCTTCTATCAGATCGCGACGTTGTTGGGCGACCGCGACTGCATTCATCTGAGCCGCACCAATCGCGCCATCCATGAATTAATGAACAGTGACCTTATCGCGCGTAAAATTGTTGAGGTAAGAGCCGCATTCTTGTCCATACTTTCCCCATTTCGTCCTGATCAGAACCAAATACGAAAAGTCAAACGTTCACTTTCAGTCTTCCCCCTCTTTCTTCCTCTCTGGTGCTGTTGGGGCCAATGACCAAGCCCTAAAACCCAAATCTACTCTCTTCTTTCCAGTCTACGCCGACAAATTCCGGGATGCTGACGGCCCACTGCAGAGTGTGCTTGCGTACAGTAAGGAGGGACGCACCGCCCTGGCGGCCCTGTCCGGCTACCGCAAGGCTGTTGGGCACCGCTTCGATATCTGCGAAGCGATTGCCACGGCCTCCCCCTATGCAGTGGCGATGCTGGCATATGCGGCGGACTTTGTGTATCACCAGGGTGTGCTATGCTATCGGGTCGCGCATGAGATCCGTCTGCTCAATGTGCATCATGGAGCCCGCCACGAGCAGGTTTTAAATCTATACGAGGTCATTCCGAGACTTGACGCTGTCCTGCAGGAGGAGACCCCGGACGCCGCATCGAGGGTTAAATCCCTTCATTGCAGCAATGGGATTGTCGTTTTTCGCTTAGAAGGTATTAGCGCACAGCCCGACTCGTTGGTTGCAATTGATATGGCACCGCGGCAGAGTCGACATAAGAGACTACTCTTCCATAAGCCAATCCCATCATCCGGTCCGATAGTGGTACGGCATAGTCGCGCCTATCTGTGGTACGGTGTCTTTGTAGAAACACTCGGCTCTCAAGGAGCCTGGCTATGTCATGGAGTCGACCTGGCCACAGGCGAAACCATCGAGATTCAGCTAGAGCAGGTGGCGTGTGGGGATCTGGGCAAGACTATATGCTTCGAGATCCACCATGACCATCTCTATACAATCTCGACACAAGTGATCTCGGAGGATGACGAACGATTTTCCTCCTTCTACCACTGGTCCTGCTTTGCTCCCCGAAACAAAACCCGAAAATGGCGCGGCCGCCTCTGGCGTCGCGAGAATCGCGAGGGTCCCATTAACGACATGTGGACCGATCTTTCCATACGCAAGGATGAGGCCACCGGCCGCCCGATGATTCTCGAATGTCGCCGTGAATGGCCCAACGGCAACAGTGAAAATCACCGAACAACCTATATCGAACCCCTTCCCACACCAGCGGAGTTACAAGCCGACCATCCAGAAGGATACTCCGAATCCCCCTTAATAGGGGACGACTCCGACAACGAAGAAGCAGGACCTAGTAAAGACCCCGTCATCAATCGGACTTACGAACACCGGCCTGAGAAACGTCTCCGACGGAACTACCACCCGGAACACGAGGTCAGCGACGATCCAATCGACCGGCAGGAGTTTATCTACGCATATACAAAACATCACCGCTACGATCTCGCCAGTTCCACATTCATCGATCTAGTCAACGATCCCACACCCCAAGCAACCGGCGTCCGTGTCCAGGATCGCCTGCGCCTGCGCACCGTTTCGCGAAAACCTAAATGCCCCATTGACGAAGAAGGAACAGCGGGTATACCAGGTCTCCTCTTCCCGCCAACCTTACTCGACCCCAATGGCCTTCCCATCCAAGGTGCAGAAGAGCGCTTCGTCTCTCGTGGCGTCCACGTGTGGCCATCCGAGAAACCTCCCACCGAGCTACAAAATCTGCTTTGTCCAGATCAACGGTCTGGCGTGGTAATCGCCCTCGCGGACGAACGCTCCCTGATATACTCTATTTCTTGTCCCGGTCTACCAAGCCAGCACAAAGCGCTTATCTTGATCAGTTTTGATCCAGCGCTTCATCTCCCTACTTTGAGGCCACTGCCTCCATCGGAGGTGACTGGCTCTAGTTCTGATGGGCACAAGGGCATGTTCCCCCCGCCTGTGCCGAAGCCGAAGACTTCTAGTAGAGGTTTGATTCAAGAATCTGATCCGCTTTATCAGGTCATTGATCGGGGCTATTGGTTGCGGTAGTGGGGTGGGAAGACAGAAGTGCATGAGAGTATTTTCGTGGGATGTTGCCGGGTTGTGGGTAGTGGTAGGTAGCGACTGCACAATTCTACAAAATTCAAACCAAGCCAAGACACCTTGCATACAAGAGAAAGAGATCTATACGCATAATTGACATCATTCATTGGCTATTTTCTCCAGGTTTTAGTGAGAAAGTGTAACCCGGTGTAAACGGGTCATGCCTTCGCCTATTTCAAGATTATTGCAGCGGAATCCTTGGATGGCTCTAAGCGATACCTCGCATCAGGTAACACAGATCAATCTAAGCCGACTATCGGTGTCGACTGGGCTGTCAACCAGCTCAATGCATTTTCCAAAATCACAGAGAAAACACGAATTTCTGCTCAGTTGGTATTCGGGCCTCGTTCACTTTTTGGACTGTTCAGGTTGAACCAATTTCCGGGGTGCTAAGTAGATGTGATTGAAGCAGACATCTTTTGGAAAATTGACATAATTGTAGCTGTAGTTGAGCACAGTGGAATGTCGAATGAGACTGGCAAACAGTAGGGATAGTGTGGTTCATTCTTCAATGAATTCACCAGCTTAGTTTTAGAATTCAGCTTTGATTAGAAGGTGTTCCTATATCATCCATCTTTTTGGGGCGCTTCATGAATTACCACTCTATTATCGTGTCGAGAACACTTTTACTATAAACAATAAATATGCTGGTTTTGAAGAGGCACAAGCGGGGTAGGACACATATGAACAAATCGAAAGCAGCTTGCCCAGTAGCTAACATGATCAAAAATCAGTTAATAGGCAACTACCCTAAAAGACGAAAGTGATGGATGCAGTCAGGAGGAGCTAGATGAAAATTGATATCCCATGTGAGGCTGTTGAATTTTCCTCCATACTTCCCTTATCGCAACTTTCATGTCACTTCGCCAGGAAGCAAAAATTGGGAACAGTGTGGCTGCGCCCAAACGGAACAAGGGCGCTAGCGGTATATATTTTAAGACATATCCACTTAACACTGCACAATTTATGCACCCTAAAGCAAGTGATGAGTTCGCTGTGTTTTGCCTGTTTAACGACCTGTATGCTAGTATCACCAATCCGATAATACTGAGAGATCATGGCTTTCCGGGCAAGATCCGGATCCAAGCAGTAGTAGACAGCACAAGGCAGCTTCCTCAACCCTTACAACGCCGGATATAGATGACCGTCGAAGAAAAATGATCGTCAGCCCCGAATTCCAATACCTCGTATCCCTCAAGCATAGTTCTCACCCGAGGTGTACATGGATCGGTACTAGATGATCATTAACAGGTCGCATCATAGCCTCGGATTTGAGTTTCTTACACTTTTCCTTCCTCCTCGACATCATAATCCTTACTGTCGATCCGCTCCCATATTATAACCGCTGGCCGCGTGATGTCTGCCACAATCTCCTTAACGGGTACATTCGGAGCACACGAAAAGAGGATAGATCGCTCGTCCACTTCAAGCCAAGCACGTGGATCATCGATGGCAATAACACCGTGCGCCTGAAGGACAGCCTTATCCACGGCCTTATACTCTGGATCTTGGGCGTAGCAGCAGACTGACTGCTGCTGATCGTCAAACCATTCGCGTAAAGTCACGACAAGTGCATGCTGGAAGGCAGAGCGATGACCAACGTCTTTGGATATCCCCCCTAGCGCTACGGCCACAACTTTTCTGATATTCAGTCCTGCAGCGGAGGAGTTCAGGATCTGGGTAACTCTCTCACACATTTCACTTTCCTGCCAAATTTGGATTTGTTCTTTGAAGATCGTGTTGAGATCATCATAGCTCGGAAGAGTTGGGTCCTGAAATAGCTCTTCTGTACCAGAGACGAGCTTCTCAGATTTATGATAAACTTGCAAGCTGCGGAGGGGGCTTGTTTTTTCGGGCTCGTAGTGAGCGTCTTGGTACATTATCCGGAGAGTTTCCTTGAGATGACCACGGCCGTGGTAGTGCAGGATCGGCTGCTGGCTGCTAAGCATCAGCTTCAAGATCTACAAGGGGAGCAAGTTCTTGGGGCAGACATCAGCCATTCTTCCTCTTCCTGCTCAGAACTCAGCCTCCAGATGAAAGTTTCCCCTGTTCTAAGAGTGTATTCTATTAGAGTGCCCGCCACATCCTTGACAAGGACTTTATCCCCACGATTAGTGGAGCGCTGAAACTGGACATAGACGGCACGGATAGAGTCTTTCGTGAAGAAAGGTTTTCCGGAATTGTAAACCTCGTCGATACGATCAAATGCCTCACTTATGGTCTGAGGGGCATCCGCCGGGACGCCTCCGTGCCAGCGTGATCGGCAGTATGCTGATACCAAACCCATGTTCGTACTCCAGATGAGAGTAGGGGATGTTATGCGTACGGTAACCTAGGATCTGGGGTGATTGTTTGAAATCCCCGGTCGGTGTCTTTTTGTGGGCACCGTTTCTTTCACAATAGCGCGACGTTGTGACTAGCGGTGTGGTCTGGTGTGAGGAGGGCCATCGAGAGAGAACCCCGCTTTGCTACCACATTCTGAACGATCAGCCAATTAAGATTAAAGCACAGCATTAGGATAGAGGAGAGAAGCCTATCACTTCTTGTAGGTATACTACAAATTCGTTGAGTGTATTCTTACTATCCTGGATCTATCGTGCCTTCTATCGACTAAAGAACCGCGTGCATTGTCGTCCATATCGCTAGTCACAAAGCCTACACCATGGGGGTTTGGTGGGATCGGGCCCACCCCATTTATTTTGTATGGTCCCACTTTTCCGATTTTAGTTCATTCCGATTTCTTTTTACACTCCATTCCTGTTAACCTTCCCGATAAGCTACGGACTTCAGGGTTTTATATTTTTGAGAGTAAGTAATTATGTATCCTAGACTGCAAAATAAGAGGAATCGTAACTGAATTGAGGTTGTGATGAGGTTTTCAAAATGGGGTGTTTTTGATGGGGGCGACTACGAGACGGGCTGATGCGACAGGTGGAAATATATATTTCTGACATCAACAGACCATAACCGCCCAAAAACATAAACAAAAGTGGGGTACTGAAGAAACCAAGAGGAGGCAGCTGTAAGTAGCTGCTCCACTCTCTTCGACACTAATCAAGCAGAAGCTACGATCGTAATATCTCGCTAGCTACTGGCCTATCTAGGTAATTTTAGTATTAATATAATCGTAAAACTATCCGCTACATATATCGTGAATAATGGCATCAATTTGGTTTTGCTCACCGTGTAAGGTAGTTGTTAAGGACACCACGATTTTTTACTAAAGGCACCACAACTGATTATCTAGTTGTTAAGGGGTCCACGGACGCATCAGTCACGCTTGGGTCCTTTGCTGCGACTGTTATCGTTACCGACTGAAGCAAAAAAATCATTGGCAACTGGTGCGGAAACCGCACGCAGGGGACTTATTCCGTGGTGTGCTTGCAGGTTACGATTTGATTGTCGTCTCGTGGAACCATAGGCTATCTGACTCATACCAATGCCCCGAACCCTGGTGTGAAGAACGCATCGGCAACAATGGACATCTGTTACCTGAATCGGGAGCGTTGATTGCCGCGAAACTAAATGCAGCCCCCGTCGGCCAGGCCTGAGAAACGGGCAAACTCAACCTGTCTTGCCCCGCCTTTTTCCTTGAGGCCAGTGGGAGGGCGTGGTGAACGGAGCAAGCGAGAGATATCTTTCGAACAAGGAGTCGGCGATTACACCTCGCTTTATCTACATTTGTCAGGTTTAGCCGTCTTCGATACCGCTGAGGCTTCCCTGATATATACCATGTGACTGGGGCTTCCGTTGCTCTTCGTCCACTCTGAGACACGCTAGCTTTGGGGGAGAAATGGGCTTTGGGAAGCGTTCTTTACACGCTTCCACCCAGGAGTTGTCCAAGATTACAAGACATCTTCAATATTACTCATTTCCTGGCTTATGTTACTCCTCCTCCTAGTTCCCGTCCGCTCATTTCAACAACACTCTTGAACTCTTGGTCGACTGCAATATATACCTGCCAACTATCGTTGTAGACCGAAGAATTACATCACTATACACGACTCGGTGGGTTGCTCCCGCAAAGTCAACCAGTCAAACACGAGCTTGTCGAGAGGCTTTGACTTTTCTGCTGACAGTCGCAATCGTTCCACTACCTCAAGCTCTTCCACATAGTCTGGGTGGTCTTCCCCCACGCAATACTGGTCAACTTCTAAGACCTTTTCGGCTCACAAGAGTGCCATTCTCAGACGCCCCGTTCTCAGACTGTAACTGGCAGCCTCATGGTACCTGAAAGATGTTAGGACAGTAAATATACATTTGCAGCTAGCACTTACGTCACCCTCAACTCTCTATGCACGAGGCCTTCCGAATTCTGTATCGATGCCATTCTTTGCGCCTTCAAGAGTGCTTCTTCAAGAGACTTCGCCGTGCCAGAGAATGCGTGTACGGCGAGCGCTTGATCCAGGGCAAACAATTCCGCCCTTTTCTCCTCCCTCTTTTGGCCTTGTAATGTATCCTCGCACGCCGGACAAGAGCACGAGAACCCCCATTTTTTCAATTCTGCCTGGCGCTGGCTCTTGGTACGGTTTGTACCATTGATATACATAACGGTAAGCTCCTCACCGGCCACGATATCGCGTATCGCGTGGAACGTCCCTTGTTTGAGCGCTGGATTATATGAAAAGTTGACATTTGGAAGGCATGAGTGGTTGATGCGGGAGCCAAGCCAGAAAACCTTGCCAAAGGCGTTCGCTGCATAGATGGAGAGTACTGTACGATGCAATTCCGAGATATCCTGCCAAGCCTGTTCCATCTCACGCTCAGCAGCACGTTTAAATTTGTTGCAGGCATATCCATGCAGCTGTAAGAACAATTCTTGCTGGGGAGGAGCAAGCTGCTCAAAGGCCAGCACAATGCCTTTTGCTTCCGAATTCTTTTCATCGCCTACTTCGAGTAATGCTGATTCAGAAATAATACGGGTGCCACGACGAATGTCAATTCTCGCAAAAACGCCCAAACCTTTGCGCGCCGCTTCTCTCACTTCGATGGGATCGTCCGCAACTGTAGTTTTTTCAATTCGGTGGGCCTCCAACGCGCGTGACACATAGCTTACTGCAAGCAAAGTTCGTTTTATCCATTGTCGACCTATTTTCCTCTCGACGATAGAGAGACCGGATTGCGGACCGAGAACTGACGACCCGAGGAAGAAGATCCTGGGGTGGTTTAGGGACCTGTTTTATCTCCGACCGTGGCCGGTTGCCTTATTCCGGGTCGCAAAAAGACCAACGCACCGCGCCTGCTGCCCATCATCGTGTAGACCTATTATTGGTCTTCCTGTAGGCGCTATGATGGTCCTGCAATGTCATTTTCAGCCTGTAGCTGTATTCCATATGTGCATTACGATCCTACTTCAGTGGCGGTTCTGGACTCTGCCTGGCTGGAGCCATAAAGGAGAAGCCGACTTGCCCTTGCAGGACCACCACATCCTCCCAGGCTAGTTATCTGGATTCTAGTATAACCAGTGCCGAAGTTTTCGATTGTTCAAACGGAATTTTAATTACTTGTGTGGTTCATGTAGTATAATGTGTTGGAGTGGGGCATTCTTGGGAGGAATAGTTAGTTAACTAACGTAATTCCCGGTCGACCGGGACACCCGGTGCGCGGGACAGCCACTCCCATAAGAGAATTTCAAAGTTAATTATCTCAATCAAAACGCATTGAAATTTATTACTACTAGAGATTCTTACATCGATTGATCCTATGGCCAATTTCCCCACACCCACTCACTTAGGCGGGGCCTTAGTACGTGGTGGATTTGCCTGACTAGGCAATTCGCCCTGCCCTTGCGATTCTACCTCATCACCTTCCACTGGCTGGTCTAGCTGTTTAACTAGCTGTATGCCTTCTTCGACCGATAGGCTACCCTCATATGGTATCTGCCTAGTTGACCGATTACGTTTCTGGCGCTTCTTCTCATTAGCTGCGCGGAGATTCGCGTTTTCCTGCGCAAGTATTGCAGTGTTATATAGCGCTTCGCAGTGGCCCTTGAGAATGCGATCTAATATATTTTTTGATGGGCTCGGAGGGCTATTTGACCGTTGCTTTAGCAGATCTTTAAGCATTGAAGCTTGCTTATGTAGCTGAACCACTGTCCTAGGCGTTTTTGGTGTAAATTGGCTAGATCTGCTGCTTGGTCGGCTGCTTGGTGGTGTAGGCGTTCGTAGAGAGATATTCAGCTTGGAAAGGACACTATCTGCATCCACTGGATTTATACCAGTAGCTATAAAGCTATTCTAAATGGTGTTCGATTGGAAGGCTTCTAGCCGCGCGCGTTGGTAGTCATCCAAGAAATCAAACTTGTCGATATGGTTATATCCTACGCGGGAAAGATCGCTTACGAAGCGACCGTATGCGCGTTTAAGCACTGCAGAACACCCAACATCTAGTGGTTGTAATAGATGCGATGAAAGCGCAGGCATACAAAGAGGTATAATATCGTTTTCTGCGCAGATTCGATCTACTGTACTAGTCTCTGGAAATGGTCGACCATTTCACACTTTCTGTCCGTGCAACCCATAGTAAAGAGTCCGGCTGACCGCAAAGGCCTGTCCCGCCATTACAGTCCATACTGATGCCTGTGTGCTTCCCAAGCATATACTCTTCCCATCCTATGAAATCATTACTATAGTTCGAACCATGCTTCCCACATACTTGGACTTCGGGGAAAAGACACCTGAACCTATTATTTTCAAATCTCCTCTCCTTATTCACTAGCACTGGCAGCAATCCCAAATAATCCGTACCGATAGGTAAATCCTCCCGGTGGGGTCTTTTATTCGTGAACACCGCATTGAAAGCCATCAAAAAGCCTTCATGAAACTCATCAGGATCCTCTTCAGCGGCCTCATCAGCAATAGCCACGCTAAAATGAGCCCTCTTGCTACTGCTTCTAGTACGGCTTCCCTCGATGATATTATCGGCAGTGATAGATCCTTCGATATCCCTTGGTGCGAGCTCTCCTCTTAGCCGGTAGCCTGGTAGTGGGGTCTCAGCTTGGAGAGTGTTGGATAGGTCGCTCAGGAGCTGTTGATCAGGATTGGCATTGGTATCTAGGGCCCTCACCCCCTCAGCTTCGGTGCGATCAGTTGGAAATGCACCCGGTAGGGCTTCGTTCCTTGGTGCTACGGGCGTTGGCGTCGGGGATGGCGTCATTATTGGCGGAGGTGTCGAATTGATGCGGTTATGTTGTGTCTTGGTCAGTGAGTGATCCATTGTTCTCACTAACTCTTCTTGATGCGATACTGAGGTCTCGTTCTGAGTTGCTGATGGCAACACCGACGGTGGGATCTCTAATGCGATGTCGTCCAGGTCATATTGTGGACGTTCGTGTTCGGAATCCTCATATTGGACATCCCAAATCGCATCGTTGAGCACGTCCTGGGGAATTGGCTGCGAGGCTTCGGTGTCGCTATAGTGAACGTTCTCATCGAAGACCACATCACGCACTTCCACCACCTTGTTTAATCGGGGTAACCAGATTTTCCAGATATTTGACGCCACAAAACCAACCAGGTAGCCAGTTTCCGCGCGTGCCGCCATTTTATCAGACTTCGCAATTCCTTGGATTCGCACATACGCTCTGCAGCCGTACAGCTTCACATTCGCCAGATTGGGACGTAGCTCAATAGAAGGGTCTCTCTGCTTCATCGCTTCCACCCAAGGGATGATATACTCACCGGTGGGCATTTTGGTAGGCACGCGGTTTAGCAGATACACTGCAGCAGTGATAGCCTCCGGCCAAAGCTTCTTCGGTAAGCCTGATTCCTGAATGAGAGCCCTCGCAGTGGTGATGATGATGCCACCAGCACGTTCGATGAAGCCGTTCTGCTCCGGGGTGCCGACCACGCTGAATTCCACCGAAATCCCTGCTTCCGGGCAATACTCATGGAACACGCTGTGTAAGGTAGGCTCTCTATCGCTTTTGAGTACGAGGATATCCATTTTGAATTGACTGCGGCAGATAGCGATAAAAGCGATGAGTGCATTGATACAGCCGTTCTTCTTTTCGTGGGTTTGGGCAAGGTGTAGTCGAATTCCTTCGCAGTAAAGGTGTGAGACCCATTGGTGTTGATTATACCCAACTTTTATATGAACTAGGTCAAAATGAAGTCGTCCAAATTTCCCATGGACATGGGTCCTGCCAGCCGGCCTACGGGAGACCTGTCGCTGTGTTTTCGATTTCTCACATACTTCACACTTTTCCGGGGTTAATGCTGGGGGTTCGGCCAATTCTGGTTTGATTTTGATGCCAGCTGCCATTTTTTCCAACACTTCCAGGCGTTCCATGTTGATGTGACCAAGCCTGCGATGCCAAAGCTGCCGGGATGCGACAGACATCAGAGGTTTCGCAGACTTTTTGAGGGTATTCAATGCCACTGGTGCAATCAGAGGGTCTTCTTCCAATAAATATAGACCATATTGCTCTGTGCAATGGGCTACCACTCCTTTTGAATTGGTGATATAAGGGCCTTCGCTGTTGAAGAAATACCCATGTTTCTTTATCTCGGAGACCGAGATTATATTGGTCTGAAAATCGGGAACATACCAAACGTTTTGCACTGTCGCTTCAAATTTTCCTGAATTAGGCCGAACGACACTAATTTTAGCAGTTCCAAGTCCCAGAGCGACAGATTTACCTGTGCCCAGCGCTATAATTCGTCGGTCGGATACAAAGGATTCAAATGCGTCGCGTCGGTTGCAGATATGCAGGTTGGCCCCTGAATCGACAATCCAGCACGTTGAAAGTGGAAGCGTAAGAGCGGCTTTGAAGACATGAGACGAAATCGTTGCTGTGAAAAATGCAACCGTATCAGTAGGGATATCGCCTTCGTCAGTGATAGTCAATTGGGCGGTTTTAGCGATTATCGGCTGTTCGGTCTTCATTAGGCTTTCAATTTCTCTTCTTTCCTCCAATCCGAGCTTCTTGATATTCTCTTCTATGCGTTTCTTGAAGTGCTCGGGGGTCGTCCAGGTCGAGGGTCTTATCGAAGGATTTATATGGTAACAATCCTTTGGAACATGACCAGTTCTTCCGCAAACGCAACCGAGTTTTGATCGAGATGAGATGTCGTTACCACGCGACGAATTGTTGCGACCATTGAGTGTGGCAGCGAATGCCACTGCACTGACATTCTGCTTTGCAACCTGCCTCGATCCTCGGTGATTTCGGAACGCTGCAAGGATATCCTGAAAAGCAACCTTCTCCATTGGCTTTGCATCAAGATCCTTTCTCCATAAGTGCACGAAGACCTCATCAATTGCTTCAACAGCCTGCAGAAAATCGCGGATTGCATCTCTGTCTTCAGGGTTGCCGTCGTCGTCTTTGTACGCAATTTCAGGGATTTTCAGTGCCTTGCCCTCTTCATAGAGGTTTGACCAAGCGGCGAGCCATTTGTCCATGCTCTGTCCTTTGAGAGGTCGTTTAACTAGGTCTCGCCATGCATTTCGGACGCGCTGACGACGATTGTCACCCTGTGGGGCGAATTGCTGAGTGAGCCGCACGAGTTTCGTGTACGGAGTGTTTTTACCCTCAAGGATATGGCGGTGCTCAGGAGCGACGTTCTGATAAATGAGCGAATCAATCCTGTTGATCTTGTTCCTCACTTGCTCGTTATACGATCTCTCTTTTGAAAAGATATCGACCAGCCTAATGTATCTGGTGTATTGGGCTTCATCGAGGGTAGATGTATCTGTCGCAACCTCAAGTACTTCCGAGGCCTGGGGGAACGTATCCCTTGAATCGATTGGCTCTTTCTTCACCTTATCCTCTGGGAGGCTTGGGTTGATATAGTTCCAAATCCCCGCCTTCGTTGCTATAGCTTCAACATGGCCGATCCAAGATCTCCATTGTGCGTCAGAATGGAGGCGCTCATCCCAAAGGATTTCCGTTGCGGTCTGACTTGGAGTGTCTTGAAGCAACGACATTGTGATGAGATAGCTATACCAAGCTGCGACAAAAGTACTGGTGATTGGGTCGAATGGGTTGAATTGAATTGAAGTATAAACTGATTGAGTACACCCGATCACCAGTGGGCTATCGGGCTCATAACTATCAACAATGTGACAGCTACGGAGTACTTGGAGATAGGCCAATCAGGGCAACGGAATCAAAAGGGGAGAAATTGAGTATATGATTGATTGATTGAAGAACATAAAATGAGGGCGCTCATGGGGGTTGAAATACCCATGAACTTACAGTGTAACGGAGGTCCACGCATGTTGAATATCCTGGTGCCTAATGACAACATAAATGACTGAGATTCGCCATATAAAAGTGTTGCACCATCTAGAAAACAATTGACGTGATGTTCATCCTTGTTTTGGTACGAGTAGCAACCCATTGGGGTTGACATACTACCTTTCATTAAGGGTCTGCCACTTTGTCCTAGCTGCACCACGTGTGAGTTTCATATGCAGAGCCACTGGTGCTAAGCCTGTAAAGCTAACTTGGAGTCCCTGGCCAAAACATTTTCTCACTCTTGACTCGCTGGTTGAATTAGCAACTGCACTACGATCGGTCTATCCTAGCCTCTTGCAGTTCGACATCATCAAGGATTGCGCTATTGCTTGATTAACGAAACGTATGTGCATATTAGATTTGGATTCTCCGCAAGACTCGAGGCTCCCTCCCCCTAACCTGGATGACGTGAGTAACCCGCACTAGGCATTAGGAACTTACCATTGATCAATACGTGAGCAGTCTGCTACAATATGACAGTCGCACAACTTTGAATCAGTGATTCCTCACGAGGAAGCCCCATCCTATAAAAAACCATGGCGACCATACTTTTCACTACGATACCAGACTTGCACTTCAGCTTCGGGATGCCCCCTTCCTCCCTCAGTGATTTGACAAGAGTTCGTGCCGACGAACGCCTTTGGAAAGCACACAAAAGGCACATAGCATCATTTGGACGTTCCTGGATCAAATCTGCGGGATGCGCAAAGACTGCAAGACTGGAAGAAGAACAGACCGCGCATCGGGAGGTTGAGCATGATGCATTAGCTGGTCTGATGGACAATTTCAGGATTCCCGAGCAGCCAGACAATGCGCTGATGATGGAACTGGACCTGGATCATGATATTCCTGGCTCAGATTTTGAGGCACTGTATTTGAAGCAGGAGAGGAGGGGCGTGAAGAGATGGCGCCTGTCGAGCGCAATTCGGAGGAATTTCCTATTTCCTCTTCGCTCGAATAGGAAGACCACTGGGATGATGGGTTGGGGTTTGGCGGTGAGCCCTTTTCTGCCGATGTGAGCGACTTTGGTAGTGTGCCTTGGTATTCTCCCGTTCATTTATCCCATGTCGTGGGTGATGGATTGGAGGAAGCGATGGGGTATCAACGAGCGCATCGTCGGCAAGACAATGCCAGCGGCGAAACCGAGGACTACATGTGGGTTGATCGGCCTCGATTTCCAGATATTCTGTTGACTAGCACGCCGCTTATTCCTGCCATGACAGGTGGACGCGGGATTGTGTCAGAAATGCAGAGGTCATTCGTACAGCGACTAAGGAGCCAGGACAATGGATTGGACGATGGAACTCCAGCCCTGGGGGGTGACTTTGATGGGATGGGACAGAGCGTTCAGCACCGTAGAGCCGATCGAATGACAATGCCGAGATAGGAAACAGGCTTCGTTGGGCTTGCGGGTCATTGTTGAGATCACCCTGTCCAGATTGAACTGTCTGCTCACCTAATAACCCGTTCCATTTTTTACAAATTTTGATTGAGTCCGGATAAGCGACAAATGGTTTTGAGAAACGATGGATTGACACAATTGTGAACTGAGGAAATGTAAACTTTGCTCGGCTATAGAGGTTAATCTGTCATGCAATGAAGAGATCCGGAATATGAGAATAGGACAAAACAAACAATGCGCTAAGGAGAACGCGGGCTGGACATAATGACCCAACAAAGTGTTTAGGTTTCATACGTCATGTAATCTTTACAGGCGGTGCGGAATGTTTTTTGAGGTTTCCAGCATGAGGCATCCGTTGACGTTCCGGTCCTCATCTCTGTCGGTATGCCCATTCGGGCAATCAGGAGGCTTCGGGGTAGCTGTCGTCACCCAAAAGGCCTGCTTTTCAAGATATAAATCAATAGATGATTAATTGTGGGAGCAAACACCAGACATGACTCATTGCGCGCACCCAGGAACATTAGGTGTCGTTTCTATACCTCCCACCGCTGGAGCACAACACCACACATACTCTCCACCATGAAATGACACTCAACTATGGGGTTTAGGCAGAAGGAATGATGCATTCGTCTGAAGGTTGACTCATCTAATGAGCTGGTAAGGACAGTAGCCTGACTCTAACAATGATAGTTCCTAATATGATTGCGGTCTTTTGCGGGGTGTTTAATGCCTCAAGGGTAGGGGCCCAGGATAACCTGTGATCCCGTGCTAATTTTGAGATTTTTTACCACCGTCGGTCTCCGTCTATCTGATATTATGATGAGCGTGCTTCCAGGTTCCTGCTGAATGTTCTCGAATTCATGGTGGATGTTGTTCAATACAGGTGGCATGGTTGGCTGCTCGGGGTGTTGAAGGGGATGGACAGAGTTGACTTGCGTACTAGTCAATATTTTGTCCAGTGAATCTTGGAAAATTTCGACATATCGCCGAAAGGACATTGAATCTACCAACCTGAATCAGACTTTAGCGGGGTGAACATGGCAAAAGAAGGTGCGAGACTTACAGTTGTGGCAGATTTTGACTGACACATTCTAACACCTTCTTTCTTATATCCCAATTACGGCGATTCAGGGATCTCAGTATAGTTGAACACTTATCGAGTAAACCGTTCAAGCTTGGATCATGAGGTAGATGCGCGAGAAGAAGTTGGATGTTTTGATTGCTTCCAAAAGCGCCGAGTTCGTCAGAAAATTTGCCGATAGATGACATCCTGGAAACCAAAAATACCCAGACCACTGGTAATTAGAGATTCGATAAGACAGAGAGAAGACCCCGTACTAAAATTGAGGGAGGGTAATCGGGCTCTAAATTGCGAGATAAAGAGGTAAAATGCCGCCTTTTGCCATTGCCCTCGGCAGAAAATAACGGCGGAGGCGGACAGATGATTATGATGACGAGGGAAGGCAAGGCTACACTCGGTACGATATCACGTTCAGTTCACTGGTTTCAAGGTATCTTGATGGTGCGGGCTGTATACGTGCGGGGCCCGGGAGTGAGCTGGCGTCAAATGATTGGACGTTAGCTTATTCTTTGAACGAAGAAGAAAAGCCACGCACATGTGATCAGGTATATCGGCCAATTGGGCCTCGCCAGAACCCGCTCACAGCACACACAAAACCCTGCTGAAGACCCAAATAGGTGGTTACCTGTTCACGCAAATAAGCAAAAGGTTGATATATCATTTTGCAGGAAACGATGCAGTAATTTTCGGATACGTAGAGGATATCTGACCCACACCGCTTAGACTAGCTTGTTAGAATATCAGAATGTCCACCTATGTTGACCACGTCAAAGATATTTTTGCAGCAATGCTTGCAAGTTATTCAAGGAGACTATTGAACGTAACTCAACACTGCCAAACGGATCTAGGCCCACTTGAGATATATTAGTGAAGTTATCGATGCGTTCAGTCGACTCTTATCCAGCTACAAAGCAGTGGTTGCTATCGGTCTTGCTGATACACATGTTGACTTGCAAAAGGAAGCTTGTTGATTGTTCTTCTTGAGAGAATACATGAGGCTATATATACAACATGAAGTCCAAGTTGATTTCCAATCAACTTGGTTCTTCCTATACATAGAGCTGGAATTATTTCCGATGTTGCGGCTTCATTCCTGAGCAGCAAATGCCTGGTATCACAACATTCCCCCTCAGGATCGCCTTGCTGCGAGGCGATACTGAATGCATGCACATCGGTCTGGCCTCGGTAAAACCACTCAAAACCTCAAAGAGAAGAAATAGTGGAAAGAGCGCCATCGCCGTTACACATTTTCCTCCTTCATGTGTACTTCAGTGCCAATTCCTAAGAGATTGCAAAACTTGGTGAATGGAGAGGGTCCCAGAGGCTTGGTCAGTCCATCAGCTGCCTGTTCCTCAGTTGGAACGTATTCGAGACAGATCTCCCCTTTGTTCAGAACGGCTCGCTGGTAGTGGAATTTCACGTTGAAATGCTTCGTCCGTTTGTGAAACTCAGGATTGCGGGAGAGAGCAATGGCAGATTGATTGTCAGCCATGATGTTGGTCACCGGTGATCGAAACAGGTGGGTTTCCGCTAGAAATGTGCGGAGCCATTGTAGGTGAAGAATGGCGTTATATTGGCCAATGTACTCGGCGTGAGTCGTGGACGTCGCCACTTCCCCCTGTCTTTTGGACGACCAGGAAACTGGTGCTCCTGCAAGTTTGAACACATAGCCGGACGTGGAGTATGCACCATCGGTAACAACAGAGCCACCAAAATCGGCATCTGTATATCCGATCAACTGCCCGCTGCGGTATGTGATGCAATAGAATTGCGTCGCCTTGACATAGCGTAGCAGTCTCTGCAATGCGGCCTGATGATGCGACTGCGGTCGGGATGTGAAGCGACTCAACATCCCAAGCGCAAACGCGATGTCAGGGCGCGTACCGACCATAAGATACATTAGTGACCCGATTGCTGTCCCGAACCGAGCCTTCGCATCTTCATCCAGGTCGCTTTCTTCGGGAACGTAATTCAGGAGAGTCTTTGGTGCCATCGGTGTGGATTTCGGCTGGCAGGTCTCCATGCAAAAGTCGGAAAGCACCTTTTGGATGTATTGATGTTGGTGAATGGAAATAGATCCATCTGCGTGGAAGTCAAATTGGATTCCTAGGAATGAACGGGGGTTCCCAGATCGTTTAGCTTGAACTCCGATTCCAGGGCCATTTGAAGTTGCTGGATCTCGGCGTCGTTCGATGCTGCAACCAGAAAGTCATCGACGTAGACGCAGACGACACAGTTTGGCTTATAGAAGACACAATTGTCGGACTGGGCCATGGTAAAGCCGTGAGCCACCAGAACACGCTGGACGCATTGGTACCAAATCCGTGGTGCCTGCTTCAGTCCGTACAAGGAGCGTCGAAGTCGACAGACGTATCCGTCTTCCTCAAAGCCCTCTGGAAGCTCCATATAGATAGACGAATCGACATCACCGTGGAGAAAGGCAGTGACGGCATCGAATTGGTGGAGTTTCCATCCACGCAGCACGGCACTTGCAACGATGCTGCGGACCGAATCCATTCGGGACACGGCCGCGAAGGTTTCGTGATAGTCGATGCCATATTTCTGTCGGTAGCCTTTGATCACCAGTCGCGCTTTCCGAATTCCATTAGCCTTCGTCTTGAATACCCACTTGCAGCCAATGATCCGATCCCTGGAGGGAACTTCATTCCGTGGAACCTTCTCCCATGTGCCATGCTCGAGAAGCGAAGCGTATTCTTTCTGGATCGCGGCCCACCATTCCAGCTGGTTGGGTCCTGACACGGCTTCGTAGAAGGTCAAGGGATCCATGTCTTTTATGACAGTTGCATTTAATGTCCCTGTTGCATAAACTTTGCCTAGAGACTCCAAGAGACGCCTGGAAGGTCTTCGTCTTCGGCCATACAAGGAGTAGCCTAGGTCCTGTGTGGCTTGTGTTTCGCCAGGGACCGGGTTGACGGGTGAAGGAATATCAACTGGTTCAGAAGGCATGTTATCAACTGGTTCACAAGGCACGTTCTCTAGATCATCAGGCGACGGATAGGACGGAGGCGGCGTAAGTGGTGCGTTAGATGAAGGCGCCATTGGTTCAGGATAGACAGGTGACGGAGGAGCGTTATCCGGGAGGTCGTTGCCTGTTTCCCCCTCGATGAGCGGCGCCACAGGGGTCCTTTCATCGAACTCGACATCACGGGAAAAGACTGTCTTTCCAGAGTGTACTTCGTAAAGCTTGTACTGATTGGGTTCGCAATAACCGAGCAGTCGGCATTCAGACGATCTTGGTCCGAGTTTAGCTCGATGCTCTTTTGGGATTAATACCCATGCTCGGGAGCCGATCCGTCGAAGATGCAAGAGCTTAGGCGGCTTCCCGTATATGACTTCATACGGTGTCTTTTTCTGTAGGATTGATGCTGGTGCGCGCAGCTTCAGATAGACTACCGTTTCCAGGATCTCGGGCCACCAGGAAGGAGGAAGTTTCGCATCGGACAGGAGCGTGTTGATCCGCTCCCGGATAGTGCGATTCGTGCGCTCAGCCAGTCCGTTCTGCCCTTTGCAATACGGCGGCGAGGTATCAAACTCAACTCCCTGGGACTCGAGGTGTGTTCCGATAGGCAAGTATTCTCTTCCGTTGTCGGTAAGGAATCTTTTGATCCGGGCGCCGAACTGTCGGTGCACCCAGGCCTCGAATTGTCGGAACTTAGACAGCGCTTCATGCTTCCATCTCATAGCATATGCCCACGAGCCACGAGAATAATCGTCAGTGAAGGTGATGACGTACCTGGAGCCATCTTTGGCGACTGGCATTTCCATAATGTCCGAATGGATCATTTCAAATATTCTTGTCGAGTGCAGACGTGGCCGTCTTGCACGGGAGTTCCTCTTCTGATGCTGCTTACCCGACATGCACGCCGGGCACTGCGGCGTTGCC